GCCTACAGTTGCAGAGCCTGCAACTTCAATTTGCACCAATCATGTGCAAGCCTTCCTTTTGAGATATCACACCTTTTCCACAGGCAGCACCCGCTCTTTCTCTCCTACTGGCCCAAATCATGGAAATGTAGCCAATGCAATGAAGATAGCACTCCTGGATTCAAATACCATTGTTACAGGTGCTCCTACACTCTTGATCTCAAATGTGCTTGCATCAATGCCATCTCGCATTTCCTACACCAAGAACATCCACTGATCCTCAAGGTCCTTAGGACATCTCTGGAGGGTCCAAAGGCTACATGCTTTGCATGCCAGTTGCCATTCTCGGATGATTCCCTTGCCTATTGTTGTGTTGGCTGTGTATTTCTCCTTCATCAATCTTGTGCTAAGATAGAGCAGACCATTGAAAACAAACATTTTCACCCTGATCACCTTCTTACTGCCCTCAACACCAGTCCATCTGTGGACTGTGCCGCCTGCAAAACCAAATTCAAAGGCATAAGTTATTGCTGCAATACCTGAAACTTCCACCTCCATGTTAATTGTGCCAAGCTTCAGTTGCCTGCTTTAAAACACAAGCGCCACCAAGAACATGATCTCTATTATTTTATAAATTCTAACCAAAATAAGTGCATTACCTGCGAAGTCTGCTACTTTAATTGTGAAGGATCTTTCTACCGCTGTGTCATATGTGATATCAGTTTCCATTTTGAATGTATTCCATTGCCTCAAACTGTGTTGGAATACAAAGATCACAAACATGGACTACTTACTTTCATGGATAGGGTAATTGAAGATGGTTGTGCAGAGCTTTATTGCAATGCTTGTAAAGAGGTTAGAAATCCAGAGCATTCTGTGTATTACTGTAAGGATTGTTCACATGCAGTTGACATTCAATGTGTCATGGCTGAGGTGAGTAATCTCTTAGATAATGCAAAATTTCAAATACTAATTTCTTTTCATGTTTTTGTGTAAAGAGGTAAGAATACAAAAATTATTAGGTACTTAACCTT